TAATACCTATTCGCAGCCAATCAGGGCAAGGCAATATTCAAAGAGTTCTGGATGCTAATGCCCAAACTGATAGTGAGTCACTTGCAAACATCAGGCCACTGAAATGGCTGGCCAAAAATGTCCTTTCAAACAGAAAAATACTTGACAATGGGTTTGACTCAATACCATAGGATAGCTCTTACTAGAGCAAGATTCCAGCAGTTAGATTCTATGGTTAAATACGGACAATTCCACCAAGTGCCACATCCTGAGAGAATATGTATTTTGTGGAGCATCAGAAATAGAAGACATTGCACATGTCCTGTTCAACTGTCAATTATATGCCCCAATAAGGGCTCAGTATTTACAGACACTACTTGACAGAACCATATACTGGGACTCTAACAAAAGATTATCTTATTTCCTTCAGGGCACAAACAAATATGTAGCCACTAGAACTGTCAAATTTATAGTTACGGCTGTCCAACAGAGAACACGTTTTATAGAACACATCAGGGTTGCATGCAAAGGTGATGAATTCACCTAAACACATACTGTTTTCAAAATTTAATATTCATTTTATTACATACCTCTGCACTCTATTTTATCTTATACTGTTTTATCTTACTTTTTATCTTTACTCTATCTTACCTTACTACATTTATCTATTTTACCCCACTGTAGTCTATTTTATCCTATTTTACCATACCTCACTTTATGCCATTTTATTGTATCTTACTCTGGCTGATGCCTATGTTTTGAATATGGTCAAATGACTAATCAATAAAGTATACTACTACTACTACTACTACTACTACTACTACTACTAAAAGAATTCACAGAACTGCTGTCTCTTCACTACCCTGTTTTTGTTGTTTTTTGCACATTCCGTCCCACCCCCATCCCCGCTTTTTTGGTGTTGTTTCCAGAGTTCAGAGCAGGATACCTGGACATTGTTGTAATGCTATCATCACAACAAAAACCTGAGAATGTGACTAGCCAAAAATCACCCAGTGAACTCTGTGATCGGATGAGGACTGTAACCTGTTTTTAACACTACACTACATTGGCTCTTAAATACTATTTCAGGAGCTTGTCTGAGGGAATGATGAATGAAGGACTAGAAAAAGAGTGGAGGAAAATTTTGCCACCCTTGAAACTATAAAGAAGAATGATTCAATAGCATACAAAAGTAGTGATAATAATCTACCTTAGCATGGGAGATGCTTATTTCAATCATCCTATCCAAACTGTTAGCCAGAAACTAACTATACTACATACTATATGCAGAAACTATGTATAGATTTACCTGAGAGATAATTTCAATATATCTAACCAGTCAAATATATATAATTAGTCAAAACTAAGATTTAGAAGGCAGATCAATTACCAAAATGCAGAGATGATAAATATCTGGGATTAAAAAGGGAGAGAAGATGATTAAAGCAGAACAACTTACTTTAAATTATTTCCATTAAACAGAAACAGTACAGAATGTATAAACAAGTTCTTCCCTGGCAAAGATCACCTGCTTATGCAGGTAATTCTAACACTTAAAAAAAAAAAAAGCAACTAGTACTAAAACAAAGTAGAAATCTATGGATCTATTTCTATTACCCATTTTTTAAATTTGTACACTATCAATCTAAATGAATTACTGTTAATTTAATGGAATCAGCCTTTTGTTGTTTGCTAAACATATGAAATGAGGCCCCAAAACCTGAATCTGAGTGATTTTCTACATGCCTTATGAGGAGAAAGGTGGGATATAAATCATTAAAAAATGAAACAAGCCTGGAGGATAACACCAATGCTTTTGCCCTATCCATTCAGTCTCAACCTTCCCATGTTTGCCAAGAAGACCAGAAGGGCAAACATAACCATGTTCAGGTTTCTCAGTAACGCAGACTAAACCTGAGTGGCATATTTCCACTTTTATACTTTTGAATAAATATGAGTAAGTTGTGGATGAAGGCAGCAGGGCCACAGTATGCATCCTCTTAGTCCCTATATTTACAACTTCTGTAAGCCTGGTTGCTTAAAATAATTTTAAAATAATCTAATAATTTTAAGATTACACAGAGAAATATTTAGACCAAATTGGTGGAGACTTAACAGTTTATTATTGCTACAAGAGGCTATTAAACTGAAGTGTGAATACAAATTTAAGAACTTTTTCTAAACCAATCTAATCCCTGAGATTTCTTTTTTTTTTTCAGTGTAGGATTCAAGTAAAGCATTTATGAAAGGACTGTTTATTTCTTTAGCATCAAATAGAAAGAAAGCCACACAAAAACAGACGTACTGTTCACCAAACTGAAGCAACTAGAATTAAGACACAAAAAGAATTGCTTTTTGGATTTAAGAACAAAATATAAAAATGGATTACTAGAAATAAATGACACTTATAAGAGGATTAACTTTGCTAAACAAAAATATTTTGACAAAAGGCAATAAACTAGATAAATTGCTATCTTATCAACAAGAAGAGCTATTACTTGTGTTGGGATGGTAACAGATATGTTTTAACAATGAAGGTAATAAATCAATTTGTTAAACATTATTTCAGATTATATAGAAGATACTAAATTCACATCAGACTGAAGAATATCTAGATATGGTTCAGAATACAGAATTCACAAAAAAGGAAGTGCTTAATAAATAAACTACTGAAAAGGAAACAAAAGAAGAATATAAAAACTGAACTAATCTCCAGGACCAGACAGGAAATTTTGATTAACCCATTAACTCAGGTAATAAATGAGCTTCAACAATGCCAAAGTACTTCCTTGTATTGGAAAGAAGCTTTAATTTCTTTGATTGATAAAGAAGGCAATGACCCAACCTATCCAGACCTGTACAGACCTATTTTGTTACTTTATGCAAATTATGAACTCTTTACTGCAACACTAGCTAAAAGACTAAATGGCCTTCTAACTGAATTGATAATCTTGATCAGACCGGATTTGTCCTGAAAAGATACATGAGGGATGTTAGATACATTTTGAATGCGACTGACTGTACAAACCAGAAAAGGAAGCGGCCATGATTTTCTTAGATGCAGAGAAAGTCTGTGATTACTTGGAATGGCTTTTTGTATTTATGACTGAACAAAATGAACTGTGGTATGAATTTTTTTATATGGATACAGGATATCTACAAAGAACAAACCATCAAGATAATTGTAAATGTACTATAATGAAGGGAATTTATTTATCCTGGCATTGGAATTACTACAAAGAAGATAAAACAGGTAATAGAATTTCAGTAATCGATCTATCAAATCAAAAGCATAAAATTATATGCACATGATGTTACTTATAGTTTACTCACCCGAAGGACTCTTTAGAACTAATAAGGGAATGTATATAGCAGTATGGTTTATTGTCAGGATTATTGTCAAGATATTGGATTAGTCAAAACAAGCATGGAACTTGCTTGAAGAAGAAAAATATTACTTACAGTAAACAATGAGCTTTAACATTATTGCTAAAAAGATCAGGAATCTGGGAAACCTATATAACAAAATGTAATAATGAGTTATTTAAGAACAATTGCTCTCAGATTTGGAGAAATACAATAGTAGACATTTCAAGATGAAAAAAGCTGAAACTGTATTGGCTAGGAAGAATTGCAGCAATAGAAATGAACATCTTGTCAAATGTTCCCAATAAGAATGGAAGAAAAGACACTAAATCACTGGCAGATACATAAAACTACTTTTTAATAGTCTAATAAAAGACCAAGAGTAAAGTTCAAAAATGTACAAGACTTAAAAGAATGAGGTGGACTGACAGCACCTGGACTGCATCTCTAGAAGGAGCAGGATTTCCAGTGGAAATATCTTCAGTTGCACAAGTACCTTTGGTCTGATACAAATAGAAAAATATAATCTATACAAGCTCATTCAGTAATAAACTGTTTCTTAAAAATAGGGGACAAACACAGAAAAAGAATCAGTCCAGATCCTTCTTGGTTCAATATGAAATATTAATTTTCATGAATGAGAATATACAAAGAAATGTGATCACTAAAGGACTCATAATTCATATAGATTGCAAGATTCAATTATTAATAAGACAAGGATGAAATCCCTTGAGGCTCTCTCTTTAGAACGTCCAGAATCACCTCACTGGTTTCAGTATCTACAAATAGGTTGTTCTGAAAGGAAGTACAAAAACAAGGTGGAATACTTAGACATCTGACTGAATTTGAAAAAAATTATGCATAATTCAGACCATTTATTCAGGCTTATCTATAAATTGTTAGTGGAGTATGATTCAGAAAATGAGCAAGTCAAGACTATGATTAAATGGATGCAGAATTTAAATAGAAAATCAATATGCAACAATGGGTATCAATGGAAGAAAAATGTCAATGTTATGGTCAATATTATATTCAGGAAAAATCGGTGTAAGATGTGCTATTGATAGTAAATTACTCCAGCGCTGATTGCCCAAATAGACAATTCATTCTCTAAAAAGGTGGGAAATACAATAGTTGGATCATTTTTTTCATATTTTGTGGTAAAGCCTAACACTTTTAGAAAATGATTTATAACAGCATTAAACAAATTTTAAAGAAAGATTTTTCCTTCCAGCCTATTTTTTTTTTAGTTAAATGTTATTAAACCCTATACTCCTATAAAGTGTACTGAACTGGCTTTGTACATGGTAACTGCTGCAAGAATTCTTCATGCTTTTCACTGGAAATTACAAACCTTCCACAAAAAACTGGCAAACTAAGTTACAAGAGTATGCTTTGACTTCATATCTAACTTAATACATATTTAACTTTGCATCTGAAAAACAAATCCAGCATAGAATTTAACACAATGTGGAAATGATTTTTGTATTATAATCTTACAAACAGGTTTGTATCACATCCAATATTTGGGCAGTTTTTGACATCAGATCATTAATTTTATGTTTTGCTAATAGATCAGGCAGTAATTACTGCAATTTCTTTATCTCAGTTGTAATCTGAGCTATACTGGTTTTTAATTATTACATAATAACTCAATTTAAATACAGACTTATTTAGTACCAAGATAAAATTTCAAACTGGTGTAAGATACTTCAATAGGCAGATTTATATTAATGTCTGATTTTTTTTTAGCTAATTTTACAATGTTGGTAAATCTCCTTTTTTACCTCTTCTTGGGTTGTTGGTTTTTTTGGCGGGGGGGGGTTGTACTTCTACAAGTAATATATTTGAGAAAAAAAAATTAGATAGATTAGAATGACATTAGTGTTGGTGCAAAATGTTCCACACACTGATGTGGAATGATGCAAAGCCACAGCCACCTTCCCTTTCTTAAAGCTTCTTTATTGTTCTTTCCCTTTGTAGCAGAATTATTGGAAGAAACTTGGCTATCAATATCTTGGTCTGCAAAAGCTGCTAAACAGCAATATTTCGGTGAGGGATCCTTCTTAGAATGAGAATGAGGTAGATATAGAAAACAGCCCTACAGCACAGCTGCTCTCCAAGTTCATGTCTACAAAACTAAGCCTCAGTTGTGATGACTATAGCCAGCCCCTCTCTGCGCACACACACACACACAGCTGGTTCCAACTTTTGGACCATTGGTGGGGAGGGGAGCTGGTGCACAACTGCAACTCCTACTCCGCTGGCTGAGGTGAGGGTCTCACTGTACCTTATGGCCCTGATTCTAACAAGATCATCATCCTTTTTCATTAAATAATTTGCATCTCCAAGGCAACAAAATTACTTGAGATGAAACAATCTTAATGCCAATAAGTCTCCTTCATTTTCTGGTCTCAGAAAAAAAGAGTTAAAGAACATTTTCTGGGAAGGGGAGAAGAGTCAGATCACCTCTGGATGAAAAGCCCTGCAGAACAGGATCACTTTTTGATCGTTTTCTGAATAGCTGAAAGGTGCCCACAGGTACCAAGCTGGCATCTGGATGCAAGGTGGTCTCTCTATTCAAAGAATTAAGATAACTTTCATCTCCTGCAAAGACAGACAGGAAAAAGAAATACAGTCAGCATGAACTCACATGCACACACTTTCTCTACACACACACACACACACACACACACACAGGGAGAATAAAAATCCTGAAGACAATTCTTTTAAACAGATTTCTACAGTCATTTAAACTTAAATAATGGTACCAAGCAATACTTATAAATCTTTCCATTACTCATCCTAATAAAGCTTTCTATTAATCATAATACATTTATAAAAGAGTACATGTACTCATTATCAAAAGTATTGGCAATACGTCAATGACAAGTGTCTAACATTTTTACTATATCACATGTGGCAAACTATGTTTCAGTGATTAAAGAAAGCAAAATTTAAACCTTAAAAAGCTGGGCATATTGTTTTAACCTCTTGTTCACAAGCTCATGTAAACTTGGATGTGCAGTGTTATAGAAACATGGAAATAAAAAGACATTTGGCATGGAAACTGCCAACTATGGACTTTAATCAACTGGGAATTATCAGCATCATCACAATTTTTTTAATAGTTTGCAGAAATGAAAAATGTTTGCTCCTATTGCCCTCAAAGTATGTAAAAAATAATCTTCCAAAGGTTCATGACAAACCATTTCTATGTTGTTGCCAAGAAAAAAACAAGGACATGAATATGGGGCAGGCCACATGAGATTTAAAATAATTAATTCAGAGATTTTTTTTCATGGGGAACACCACCAAAGCTCTTTTTAGAAGTATCTTGTTTCAAAATAAAGGGAACACAAATTCCTAATTTCCAGGTGGGTCATAGATACTTGGATACTTAAAGTGATCTCATCTACTATTTGGTCTCTCTGATACAAATGAGATAACCATAATTTGTGTTCTAATACAAGTTTCTTTATTTGTGTTCTAATACAAAGTTTATCCTAGAAAAATAACAAACCTAGATAAAGGAAAGATAAAGAAGGTGAACTAACCAACAAAGATAGGTAAGAAGTTAGTGGTACAACAACTCAAGACATCATGGCAAGCTCAAAACAATATACTTGGTATTTGTGGAATTGAAGGATTCTGTACTTGTGGAATTATCCTCTAAGAATTATATGTGTTCTGTCTTGTGTGGCCTAACAGGGTTCAAGGATTATTTTATTCTGGCAGTGTTTTCATTTTTAACAATAATTCTCTCTCATTTTAAAACACATGCTGTTTTTATTAACATCATTTATTCTGTACTTTTAAAATTCTAAACAACTTTGTGAGAACTTGCCCTAGAAGGTAGAATATAAATAAAATACATAAAATTATTGTTCATCATTTACCCTGACAGGAGTATTTCCAAAGCTAATTCAATAACTTGAAAACTCCATCAATGCAAGATCACAAAAAGGTGACAAGTGTGTGTTATCTTTCTCCAGGTCAGTTTTTAACCTAATCCAGGGTCTCTTTGTCGATTCACACTGCTAAAACAGCAGGGACCACAAGCAAAATAATTAAAAAGTTTTCTTTAGCCTTTCTAAATTAACATCAACAACACTGTTTCTATTTATCTGGCCAACTATGAAGTAGAAAGCATAGTAGACAAAAAGAAAAGGTGAAATTTATTCTTTGAATAATAACACTAACATGAAATAGGCTTTAAAACAAATAAGATTTTCAGTTCAGTTGCTTCCAAAATCAAACAGTATGCCTCACTAATTTCTTTAGCAATAGTGGAGTTAAAAGTCCTGTTATTCCAAAATAGTCGCTTCAAGGACTATACAATGTCCTGGAAGGCTGAAATGCTCTGATACTATTTTGTCCTTGTTTTGTGTCCTGATGTCAAATTTGTGTCTATTAATTCTTTTGTGCAAAGTTTGTCCTGTTTGTCCTATGCAGAATCCAGAGGGGCATTGCCAGCAGGATATTAACTCCACCATTGAGTAAAGGGATGCTGAACTCACATACATCAAAGGTGCAGGCCATCTTGGAAGGTCAGAACAAACACTTCAAGTTTTTAACACATTACAACTGTTAATTAATAAAGTACTGGTAATCTGCCTCATGTGTATCCTGCATCTGCATGACCAACCTCTATTCCATTCTCTTCCCCCTAACCCTAACTCAAATCCTACATCAGTCTAGCTACACTATGGATCTGATAAAGTGAGCTGCAGGTTCTTTTTAATATAATTTGTTAGTCAAAAAGGTGCTACCACTGATTTTTTTGCCACCATAGACTAACACGGCTCTCCTCCTCCAATGTCTAAATGAAAGAAAGAAAAAGGATGTTCCAAAGAGATAAATCATAACAGGAAACAGTTGTTATGGAGATATAGTAAAGTTGTTTAAATTAGAAAACAATCATTATTGTATTTCTTTGTAATTCATTGTTAACCTTACCACAATACTTAAAAAAAAAAAAACACTTTTTACCTTGTGATACCTGTGTACCATTTAGCCCAGGTGGGCCATTTACAGCTTCTGCAATAGCTGAATCTGAAACGGTATCCTCCTAAATAGAAAATTAACAGAGTAGTCTTCTAAGTAAATTAATGGGAAATAGGCACAAGTTCCTGACTTTACAGAATTTACACAAAGAAATACCACCAACGTCCTAACAGACAGGACTATTTAGACATCTATATTTCATTAAAAGGCTAAGACATATTAAGAAGCAAACAATTCAAGCTTGGACCATACTTTGGTGGGTTAATACACATTTGCCTAATAACTAGAATTCCAGGGCAGACTGAGGGCTATTAAAATAACAGCAGTGAGAACAACTATATAAATATATAGCAAAATAAATAAAAATCAGTAATATATATTATGAATAGGTGCACAAACATATACACTAAAGCCACTATACACTTAAAATCAAGACTAAACTCTCAAAAAAAGAGAGGTATTTTAGCTTTTGAAATTTTTCCTAAAAAGACAACACTGTAGGCACGAGATGTGCTGTCTACTAGAGAAGAAAATCCTCTCCATTTATTTCTCACACTTACCAAACTTCACTGGCAAGAAGAGAGTTTCTGAAGATGAATGCATTTGCCCAGGCAAGAACATATTGGAGGACACGTATGTCTCCTCTCATATGCACTTTAGATACTCTGGCCCAAGCCATTCAGGGTTTTAAGGGTTTGCATCAACACCTTGAATTGAACCCACAAGCAGACTGGAAGTCAATGAAATTGTCAATTGTGGTGTCCCAGGATTGCATTGATAAATCCCAATTCACAATCCAGCAATTCTATTTGAGTCTATTGAAATTTCCAAATAGTTTTCAAAAGCAAATTCATGTACAACACACTGTAGTAATCCAACTGTAAGATTATCAAAGAATATATAACTGATGCCAGGCTGTCTCTGCTGCATCTGGTATGTCAGCCTGAAGATGATTCCAGTTGCTGAAGTTACTTTATCTTTCAAAGAAAGTGCACCCCTTTCCAGAACACACTGAACACCATGCAGCAGGACAGACAACTCATCTAACCACAGCAACTCCATCTTTTCTAGATCGGGGCTTGATTTATTGACCCTCAGCCAGTCCACTGTCATACTCAGACACTGCTTCAGAACATCTACTGCTTCTCCTGCAGCATATGTAAATTGCTAAAGCTGGGTGTTATTGATGATAACTCAGCTTACATCCTTGTATAAACTCCCCCACTGGTTTTGTGTAGTTGTTAAATAACATGGGAGAATAAAACTGAGATGCCAAGAATGCTATGACACAACACCATGATGCAGAGCAATAATCCTCCAATACCAGTATTTAGAAACAGAAAGACAAGTAGGAACAGATCCAGTGTATAATACATTCAATTTGGATAGTGACGATAGCATAGTTAATACCACTGAAGGGTTCTGAGAGGTTCAAGAGAACCAAAGAAATTATTTCCACTTCTGGTTCTATCTTAAAGTTTAATTTGCAAGGTCAGTAAAGCATTCCATATCCTAATGCCATGTATACAACTGGACTGAAAAGGATCTAAAAATCTCCATCCAGAAATGTCTGGTGTTGGTCAGCAACCTTTTGTTCAAATACCTACCCCCAAAAGGTGAAACTGGTGTCATTTATTTCCAAATACAGGCTACTGTTCTATATCTCAACTAGGAAGGTCATTGCCCCATCACTCAAACCATTACCCTTTATTAGATTTAACAAGTCAGGCATATAAAGCATTTTTAACCTGCCCAGGAAATTTGTCCATATTCTCAGGTAAAACAAAACTCATCTACGGTAATTGTACAAGACAATATTATGGACGTCTGTTAAATTAGCTGCACCAGCCAGAGTCCAAGTCATACCAGATGCACACAGTTTTTACCTTCAAACAGTCTTGCAAATGTGTCACAGCAAACTGTTGAAGACATAACTAATTTCTTTAAAGGTGAAAGGTGAATTTCTGGACATCAACGTGGAGATCCAACAGAGGTAGAAAAGAACTCTGAGTTTGTCACTTCTACAGAATAGTTTTAAAAGTCACTCATATAAATGATTCCTCCATTTACATTTCATTACTTCAGCAGCAAGATATACCAAGAAGTTCATCTGACTGGTAGGGACTGGGGGCACTTGAGCACAACTGTACAATGGCTTTGGTCACTTTTCTATTCCATAGGGTGGCTGGAGCTTACATGGGATTACCAGACAAGCCAACTGGAGGAAAAAAAACCAGAGACCTCTGAAAACATTTAGGATCCATTAATTTCTGAGTTCCTTACTGCAAGGCAGTAAGGCCTTAGGAACTTGAAGAAAGAAGGAAAGTTAAGTGCATTTTGGTTTGAAAGTTTGTTTTCTCCCATACTTTACAAATATTTAAAACCTCCAGCATGTTGATGAGGGCTTAAAAGAAGACAGAAAGAATCTAGTTCTAAGATTTAACAAAACCGTATTTGACATTACAATTATCTGTTAAAACAAGCATCCCATAATTGAGAATACTGCATTTCTGAGTTATAAATACATGCTCAGAGCAGAAAAATATAGCCTACAGTTTGAGCTTCACATAACCATCAGTTATATTTAAAAGAGAATCATCTTTCAGGAATTATTTTTAAACACCCAGATTCTGAAATCCACAGATGGTTAATATGCTTATTAGGACCAACCAAAATGCAAAAAGAGTGTGTAATAATTTAAGTTCTACAGAATTCATATTTAACATTAGCTGGTACAAAAAGTAGGGAAGGCAGGAGTGGGAAAGCAACAAAGTCCAAAACCTAGGTCAAATATAAAATATCTATGTGTTTCAACAGTGTCCACTGATGTGAAATCCAATATATTTGGCATTACTCTGGCAAAAAAGGGCACATTCAACCATCTGAAGCATGTGACAATTTATCCTGATCTCCTCTGAAAGCATGTTAAACTGGAAGAATTCAATGGACAATACCTGCTCATGTCTCATCTGGCTCACCACAGCTTCGTACGGAGGTGGGGGATCAAGAGGGCAGAAAACCTCAACACCTTTAATTCGGGCTCCATAAATGTGTGGTAATGGAATGACATCAGAACCCAGCATCCTAGGAGAAATAGTTTGCATCAACTATAGAACACCCTTGATATTTTAATGGCATATGCTCCAAGAGCCAGCATAATGGAATTCAATCTTTGGTGGAAAAAATAGTCTTTTAAGAGTCTTCACAAGGATTTAAATGGGGACTATTTTCTGTGGAAAAAAAAGAAGGGCCTAGAACTTTTAAAATACGGAATCCAATTAAAGTATTAACAGTCCAAATATTTAACAACACTTCTATTAAAGGAATCCTCAAAGTCAGAAACATTATTGTGTGGGCATCAGAAAAATACATCAATCAGAAATATTTTGATTTCTAAGCAATTTGTACAGGGTTATTACCTGGTAATGGGCCATCAGGGAGAGTCTATAATCCTCGAAAAGGATCCTTCCTACCCAGCTCTGACTCCATCATCATCATCATCATCATCATCATCATCATCATCATTTTTTCCATGGCAGAATTACTACTTCATAGCTAACTCCCTATCAGATTTTGTACTAATGCAATAGTCATAAAATATTCATCAAATTTATATTCAGTTTAGTATGTTTACATTAAAACTGATACTTAAGTTCAGCAAATTCTGGTGGGGAACATGTCCTGAAGTATATGATTCAAAAAGTAATATTACACATACAAAGTAATATTCTGAGAGAAAACATACTGTAACTTTTAGGCACTCCTTTCCTCTCACCACTCCTTTCTAATAAATAACACAAAGTTAGGAAGAGAATCATCGACATTCTTCTAAAAGCCATAGGAAGATAGGTTATTGGGTACTAACGTACAGCAATGACATCACCCCTATTCTCTATAGCAGGACTAGGAAAATGAATCTGGCTCTAAACCATTTTTTTTTCTCTTGGTGGGCCATGCAAGAGGTCAGCTTCCAGAAAGAAAAGACTCCCATTACCCCTTGCTGCTCACCAGCTACCTTCTCTGGATCTAGCTGGAGGCTGATTAGAGGATGACAGTCCTGTGCAAGGGAAAGAGATGACTACTCCTGGTGAAAGAGGCTTATGAAACTCATCCTTAAATTGAACCAATGGTAGAATAAACCAATAGTGTTACATCTAAAAATCAGCAAGCAGAAGTAACGAAATTACTGTACCTGTTACAAAAATATCTGCACAGTTCTGTGCTAGATAGGTTCAAGTATAATTATTACACATCTGCTTCTGCAAACATTTGTATAAGTGATCTTAATTCAGTTTTAGTGCTTGGCTCAGGATAGGGAATCTTTGGCTAACTAGTCCCTGATACTTTTGCAGACCCTGTTGTGTTCATCTAATCTGCAGAAGAGCTGACTGCTGGCCTTGGTGAGAAGCTGGGGGCTGAGATTCCTGGCCCAGAGATCAGGATTGTGAGGCCCTTCTGGATCTGCAGTGTCTATGAATACAGGTAGAGGCAAAGAGAGAAATCAAGATACGTAGGGAACGTTTATGCACAGAATTAGAATGGCTGTTTTCTGAAAGAACTATGATTAAAGACTGGTTGACAGTAATGCAACAATTGCTTTTTTTTTTCCCAGCAGAGAGATGAAGAAAACTATAGGTATTACACTCCTGTTTACCATTCATCTTCTGAAGGTGGAAGAAATAAGACAAATCCTTTAAAGGATTGTAAACTCTGATTCTGTGTGTTCAGAATTAGTAAGAAAAGGACTTGTGATTGTTTATGGCTTTCCCACTAAACTAGGATCCCTGATTGGATAGGAGAGAAGTAGAGGTACAGGATATCCATTACACAAATGTTAAATGTGTGATCATCCAGAGGCAACATAGATAGCAATGATCTTCCCTTTATCTTTCCTGCACATTCACTGAATGTGTGAGGGGATTTATCTAAATGCTTCTTATCTAATTATCCCATGTGTTCAGCTAACTGAAGACAATACATTTTTATCCACCCCTACCATTGTCACAGTCATTAGCACATTAGAATAAAAGCTGATGAAAAAGCCCAGCACTACAATAATCTAAGTTTTATTTCCAAACAGGCATTCTGAAGGTCAGCCTCTCCACCACCTTGCTCAACTCTCCTCTATACTCCACACGGTCTGCATCTTTCTGCTACTGACTCCTCTGATATATAGTGGACTCATGCTATTCATGCTAAATGAGTTACATGGCCTTGGATTTATAAGGCAAATCACATATGCCACAAGGTCTAGGACTAGTATTGGTTTAATTACTGTGATGTCATAGAGGTCCAAAAGACCTTGAACCAGATGACTGCTTAGAGCAAAAAGCAGCATTGCTTTTGGAGTATGAAATCCACAGGCAAATATATAATTGTACTTATCACAAAATTATGCAGCCTCAACTCTAATGAAAAATACATTTTGTTTTTCCTCTTCTTTCTTTGCATTGAAGCTCTTAAGCAAATCTTAACAGTTAATCTTAACAATTATGTAATTAGCATTTTCATTACCATTACAACAATGAAATTGCAGGTAGCAGTGAAATGCTCAGCATATAAAAAAATAAAAGTGTTTGTATAAAGCTTGTTTACTTTCAGTGCTTGACAAGAACAATGTTTTTAAGGACAATTGATTCTGCCTGTAATGATAAAGATTTAAGATAGGATTAGGCAACTTGCACCTCCAGGGCCCAATGTACTATAAAGTCATTTTTTGCTAGAGTTGCTCGATTGGCAAAAATATGCTAGGGTTTCCAGCATATTTCTCCTATAGCTGCACAACTGCCCAAAATATGGTACGGTTTCCAGTCCTTTGCTACAAAAAGCCACTTCTAACAGAATGTATTATAAGCCCATTTAAGAACCTAGAAAAGAAGTTGAAATCCATGACATTCAAAGAAGCTTCTTCTGAGAAGCTATCTGTCCACATACAGGACAAGTGAAATAGATGGAGCTGAGGGACCTGAATCTATAGACAGGATGGTGGTGTCAGAGGGCTGGTTTGGAAAAATAAGGTGCTAGCAAACTTTATTTGGAGATCAACTGCCTGTACAAAAGGGATGGGCAGCATCAGAATCAGGTTGCTGGTGCTGCATATCAAAAAGGTGGGGGAAGTACTGTCATGTATGCATTGAACCAATAAAAAGTAATTATCAGTGTTATCAAATTTTACTACATAAATGTAGAGAGCTAGCATGCAATTAGGGAGCCAGAGCGGTGTACAGGTAGTCCTCAACTTACAACCATGATTGGGACCAGAATTTCCATTGCTAAGCGATGCAGTCATAAAGCAAGACATCACATGACCGCATCACTTAGCAAAGGCAATCCGGGAACTCCCCATTGTCGTCGTTAAGCGAAATCCACTGGTCATTAGCCAAGGACCCACCCCAATCCAAGCCTTTTGGGCTTGGTCCTTCCCAGCCTTGAGCCTCAGTAAGGGACTGCCTCCAACTCCCCCCACCCACCTATCTCCCCCCATCTTTGCCCTTTTGGCTGCCCTGCACCCTGCCTTGCAGGGCATCAAACAGCCCCAGAACTGCGCAGTTCTTCCCCCTTCGCTCACTCGCATGGCACCCTCCTTCCCTTGCTTCCATGCACTGCACACACCAGCACGCTGCTTCCTTCTTCCCTTGCTTGCATGAGTGCTTTCCTTCCTTCTGTCACTCGGTTGCAGGCACTAACACCCTCTTTCCCCCTTTGCTCGCTTGCATGCATGCACCACACCCTCCTTCCCTCGCTCCCATGTACTGTGCTCTCCTTCCCTCCCTCACACACACCAGCGTCTTCTTTCCCTCCTTCCCTCACTCACATGCACCAGTGCCCTCCTTCACTTGCTTGCACGCAAGCATCATGCCCTCCTTCCCTCTTTCCCTCGCATGCACCAGTGCCCTCCTTCCCTCCCTGGCACACCCTAGCACCCTCCTTGCCCTTCGCTCACTTGCACACATGCACAGTGCCCTCTTTCCCTTGCTCAAGGACTCTCCAGGAGTGCTTCCAGCACTGAAGCAGCACTCCAGGGATGCTGAAAGACTCTCCAAGGGTGCTGAAAAACTCTCCAGGGGCGCTTCCAGTGCATGCTCTGCAGCTCATGTTGGAAGCTGCTGGCCATTTATGAGGCTTTTTCCTTCCTCCTGCAAAGCCCCAGAGCCACAGTGCAACATGAAGGGGGCAAGGGGCATGTGAGCAAGTGAAGGGGGAAGGAGGGTGCTAGTGCATGTGTGCAAAGGGGGGAAAGAGGGTGCGGTACCAGGGTGGGTGGAGGAGTCTTACCCAAGTGACTTGCAACTTCCCCTGCTGGCTTCCCCATTGACTTTGCTTGTGGGAAGCTGGCAGGGAAGGTTGAAAATGGCAATCATGTGACTGCAGGAGCATTGCAACAGCCGTAACTTCGGTGACCAGTCATAAGTCCATTTTTTCAGCACCATCGTAACTTCGAATGGCCACTGAACAAATGATTGTAACTCAAGGACTACCTATAGTGATTAAGGAGTTTGTAACTCTGACTGGGTAAACACAGATTCAAATTTTATCCTGAGCTACAGAAATTTACTGGGTGACTTTGGAACAGCCACTCTTTCTCAGTCCAACCTGCTCCACGGGGTTGTTTTTGTGGGGGTAAAATAAAGACCAATGCCCACGTTAGCCACCTCAGACTGGGGAAAAAGCGGACTATCTGTCTAACAACTGAATGGGAGAAATTATCTAGGAATTTCAACATAGTAATTTATCTTCTAAAGAGACACTGCTAAGAAAAAACAATCAGAAAAGTTGGAAAGAAAAGTCAGGTGACTTTTCAGAACAATCAAGGGTTATTCAACATTCCAGTAATAGAAACTAAGTCAAAATAAAGCAGTACAAATTCGGAACTACTATTTGTCCAAAAGAATACCAGCCTGCCTATAGTAATAAGAAGCTATTAAAAACAGAAAGACAAATTATAAAACATGGAAGTGTTATTTAAATGAGGAGAACAGTGAGGCAAGCAGAGAATAAAAGATAGCAAAAAGAATTTTGAAAAAATCAGAAAGGGAAATACAGAGCAATAGCAGAGTCCAAAGTATCATAAAAGAAGTTAAGGA